ATGATAACCTAGAAATATCTGATTTCAACAAAAAGATATATATATATATAATATATATTAATCAACAACACTGTAGTTCAAAAAGCCTTATTAAGCTAAATTCCCATAAAAACAGAAGTGGCTAGCTTTCATGCTGTTTGCTTCTCTCTCTGCCTTCATTTATTGTTCATTATGCCACTTTTCTTCAATATGTTTTTATATTTCAATATAATTAAACTAAATGTGAACTGCAAATAAACACCACATCTATAGAACAAGTGAAGATATATAAATATCTAGGCATTATCATTAATAACAATCTGTCATGGGAAGACCATCTTGGAACTCTGACAAAGAAAACAGCCCAGTGACTTTTTTTTCTATACAAACTCAATAGCTTTAAACTAAATAAGAAGATTCTAAATCCTTTTTTACGGCGCGATTATACAAAATCTGCTAACATTTGGAATAACTTGTTGGCAAGGCAACGCTTCATCTAACCTGTTGTGCCATCTAGAAACCATCATAAAAAGAGCATCAAAAATTACACTCACAACATTACCACACAAAAGTGTCTAAGGAAAATCGAAAAAATCTTAGAAGACAACGGCCAAGTGCTCCATCAGAACTACGTCAGGTTGTCGCGAAGTCAATCAAAACAAGAACAGAGCGGTATAAAAACTCGTTCGTACCTCACTCGGTCAGACTATATCAACTCCACTCGTTGATCAGGAAACATGAAAAAGACCAAGATGCTTGTTTGTAGTCGCTGAATTGACTTTTTATGTTGTGTCTGTTGTATTTATGTGTATGTTTCTGTTGTGTTCTTTATATGAGAAAAGAGTCCTTGTAATCACAACAAATTTCCAAAGGGATCAATAAAGCAGTCTTAGTCTAATATATATATATATATATATATATATAGGGGCACCACTCATACATTATGGCTCAAACTATTTGATACAGAAATTGCATTTACTACAATATCATTAATTACCTTTAAATTATTTTTTAAAATTCAAAATATTATATCTATATGGTTAGCATGTTTCTTCTTACAAGCTGTTTTTTTTTTTTTTTTTTTTTTTTTTTTTTTTTTTTTTACAGGATGTAATTGCTGGAGTGTCATTGGCAGCATTTCTAATGTTAGTTACTGTTCCTTTTGTGGATTCCATTGACAGGTTTATCCTCTCTTCAAAAATGTCTATACCTATAGTTATGACTACATGCATACTTTTAAGCTGGATATATCCTTCTATGAAACGATGGAGCACCACTCGTGGAGATACTATTCTTATACTAGGAGTTTTTTCTGGGATATACAGTGGCCTTTGGATGACTGGCCAGTTTTCAAATGTAAATCCTGTACCTGAAGCCTTGCCATTAACTTTGGCACTACCCACCCTCAGTGGTGTTGGTATTGCTTTAATACGCCAAATTCTAGGCTCCATCTTTATATTTTTAGCCCTGACTGTCATTAAGAAGATAATATTGTATACTCTTTCTTGGATCTTGGGATATGATCCTAAAGACCCTGTTACAAAAGAGCAGTTTAGTATAGAGCTACCCTATCGATATCTTCCTTATTTCATTGGAGGGATAGTTGCAACATATGTGATGCCCCTTATATTTCAACAAATTCATTTAGAAAGGGAAGGTTTTTATTCAGAAATCTTTAGTTATTCATCTTAATCTGTTAAAACAAAAGAGTAAAGTTCCCCTTCAAACCTTAATCAGAAAAGTATCAAAAAAATTTAAGTTAAAAAAAAAACATAAGTGTTGAAGTTGTAATAGATTCTTGACTAATTAGCAATGTATATAAAACTTCCTAACAATAGGGTATACACACAGCCTGTTTGTGTCATAAATGTATACAAACTCTTTTTTTTTTTTCTTGTTCACATATTTTAACTATAAAGCTTAAAATTTAAAATTGCTTTTATTTTTTACCGGTATCATCATTTTTTCTAGCTAAAAATTTTCTTGTACATTAAAAAAAAATTGTACATATATATATATATATATATATATATATTAACCATGTTATTAAACCTAGGAAATTGGCTGCAAATAATTGTTGATGCATTTTGCTTGCTGACTTGATGGATATGTTGTAAAGGACAATAATCATCTTTCTTGTTTGTTCACTCCTCTTTCACATTGTGTCAATTAGCCAACACATCTATAAATCCGCTGGTGTTGACATTTGGAGCCAAGTCATAATAATGTTATCACAATGAGGTAAATCTTAATAATGTGTATCCCTCAAAATACTCAACTATGTAATATAATATATATAATATATATTTATTGTATGTATCACTCCATCAATATCTTAACCATTCATGTACTTACATGGCCTCTAGACAAATCAAATAGCAGTGGACTCCTTTTTAATTTTTTAATTTTTTTTTAAGTATAATTAGTTTTTAGCAAAGTAATTCTTTTGGCTGGTTTGTACTTCATACTTCATACAATAAATTCAATGTGTTAAAGACTTTTTTTAAAGCACTGACATAACTAAGTTAAATATTAATACCTTTTACACACAAATATAGACTATTTTTTTGTTAATGGGCACTTAGGAAATATTGTGTTCATTTGTATTGAAACTGTAACATATATATTTTATGGAAAAAAATCTTAAGAGCAAGATTGCAATTTTTATGTGCATAGCTTGTTCTGAACCATAGTTTTTATGTTTTGTTGCTCTTATGTTGTTCTTATTTTTTTTTTAAACAAAAAGTAGGTAAAAAAAATTTAATGAGAAGATTAGTGCTGATAACATATACCTGTTAAATGTATAACATATACTCTGTACAAATCAATAAGTGTTAAATATTTCCTATCTACTGATACTTAAGTTTATTTATAATGATCACATTGTTGGTGGCTGTTTCTTTTTTTTTTTTTTTTACTTTGCCCTGATCCTAAAAGTTTGTTTAACATTAGGATTTAATGCTAAGGCCATCTGTTCCTAAAACAGATACTTTTACATTATCATTCTCTGTAATGCAAAGCTATCATCAGTGATTGAGAGTGATACATGTGTTAAACATTCATAACTTTAAGTGATGAAACTCTTGTACTGGTGGTATTTTTGTTTTTTTTACTCCAATTGCCTTCTTTAAAGTTATCCTGTGTGGTGGGCTTTGGGGCACCACTGATGATGTTTATTATAAGGGTGAATCCTAGTGGCACCCATCATTATCCAAGCTGTGTGTTAAAAAGCTGAAACCTTCACTGGTGGCATTACATCTTACTTCATGTTGAAATGGTAGCAAACTAATTGCACAAGCTACAACCAGTTGTAGCTGTGGTCATGGTCTGTTGTTTCACTTTTGTCATTGGCCATTAACTCATGCCTTCCAGTTGCTTGCTGTGTTTTCCAACTTTTTCCACTCTTATATGAGTGATTCTGAAGTTGTCACAGTTAGCAAAAATTAAGAATGAACTTTATGGTTTTTAGATTACTTTAAATTTTAATTATCTCAAATGTGTTAATTCTTTCTGTCTGAAATTAATTTCCACATTCCGCTGGAGATTGGGGCTAGGATGTAATAATCTTCAATTCTGAAGGAACACGTAAAACAATTTTGGTAAACAAAAGTGAGAGGGTTTCAAATGTTTTTTGGACAAAGAGCTTCTTTGCCATAATAAAAGAACCACATCTAGTTGTTTGCATGAAAATGCTTTTTGAAAGGTAAATCAGTGAGACATTACAATGTACAAAAACATTTACATGTTTGACTCTTGTTTTTCTCACAGCCTAGTCAAAGAATTGTGGATATTTCCTGGCAGTGGAAAGGCAGTTTTGCTTTCATTGCAGTATTATTTACTGTTTTTATTTTCCGTCCACTTATGGAAAGTTTGGTTTGTTTCTTTGTCATTTTTAATATAATTTTTTTTTACATTTTAGTCTGGCTTTATAGTAGGGGGGTTAATTTTTTATTTTTCTGAAATGTTTTGTCACAGTTTCAGCACAACAAAGACTATAAAACAAATTGATAATGAATCTTTTTTTTTCTTTTAAAATGTAGTTCTTGACACCCAAAAAAAAAAGTTTTCTTAAGGTTATATCTCAGTTGGCATACTAACAAAATCTTTTTTTTTTTTAATCACCCATATTTCTTTCTTTGTATTTACGAAACTGCTTGACTTGTATTTATACCCTGCTTTAACATTTTTAAAAAAGTAGGAAAAGTTACATTCTTTTACTTGCTATAATAAATACAATATTAAACCTTTTAAATAAAGGGTGAAATTCTCTTTTCCTTTTTCCGTTTAAATAACAACAAACAAAACATGTCCATGTGCAGATGTGAATGAAAACGTAAAGTTTATAGAACAGTGTTTTCGAATCTTTGAAATAGATTTCAAATTACTTTTTCTTTTATTACATCAATATACAAACAAAATTGCTAACAGGGTTAACCACCATACTTTTTTTTTTAGTACTTTACCCCTGGCCTATAATAAAATACACATAAACAATTGACTGAGAATCGCTTATGTAAAACTTTTTTTTTTTTAGTTGACCCAGAAATGTAATTTAAAAAAAAATCTACACAATTTAAAAATAATATTAGCATTTATTTTCCTGGGCTCAAAGAACGATTGAATGTGAGATCAAATGCTTGAATTCAGCACCAAGTGCTGATTATTCATCTCCAGTCAAGCATGGAAATGAGTTAACTACATTGATTTCCTGGAGTCATGTCACTGCTAGTCAGTCAACTATTAAAAAAAAATTGTCTCTTTTCAAACACCAGAGAAAAAAAAAGTCTTGGTGATACACTGGAGCTGCTGGTTGGGAAAATCAGAACATGGGTTTCCTATTACTTGAAACAGGATACAACAAGCCTTTATCCTTTATAAGGCCTATCAGGCTGTTACTAGGTTATTATGCCAGTTATGGTATGTAGCACAAATTGTTTGTTTGGGACGACCCTAAGCAAAAAAACGTGGACACATTTAGCATGTCAAAGGAAAAATATGACATATTTTGATTTCCTCCCCCCCCCCCCCCCCCCCCCCTCCATAAAAAAGAGTAACTTAATTTTTTTAGTTGTTGTTTATCTTGAATTAAGCAGAATTTGTACATGATATGTTGTATTAACTGGTTTTTGTTTGTTTGACAGTACCTTCAAGTGCATGTGATATTTAGAATAGTCATGTGAAGCATATTTTCATAATATTTAATGTATGTATATACATCTGGCTTTGATGCTCATTTAAAACAATTGAATTGCTTGTGTTTACTTACCAGTATACAATAATTATTGACATATTAATATTTATTAAAACTTTATCCCAGTTGTACAATTGCTTACCTAGCTGTGTTTGGTCAAAGTTAATATAATTAAAAATAAATTTGGGTCAGGTCTAGTGGTCCTCATGTTGTTTCAGTAGTCACTTATGTATTCAGTGATTCTCAAAATAACCCACTTGTTAATGATTTTTTTTAATATGTGCCTTTTATTATCATAATTTTTTTTTCTTTCCTGTTATGAACAGCAAGTGGTTAAAAAGTGTTTCATTTTAACTAAATATTTATTTTTAATACTAACTAGTGATTTGTGTGTGTACATGATTGTGTGATATCACACCTTGTCATTTTGAAGTGAAAATGGTTTTGAATAATTAATAGTGGTCATGCCTTGTTGTTGAACATAGTTGTATATTTGTGTGTTCAGTTATTTCATTGCAGAAAGTTTTCAAGTCATGCCAACAGTTGTAGTTCTATGATCTCTAACCCCTTACTAATGATCAAATTGTGTTATGTGAATCCTGCTGCATCTATTGAATCTACACATTTGTTTTGTTTGCTTTTTTTTTTTTTTTAATGTAAGGGTTCAGGAAAAAATGGTTTTATGTGTTTATATAAAATAAAACCTGCATGTTGAAAAAAAAAAGGAAAAATAAACTCTTCTTTGTTACTATGTGATAATTAGTGATATTTTAGATTTAGGAAGTGTAGTAAAATTGTGGCATATTTATTTCTTTTAAAGCTTAAATCAACACTTGTAAAAAGTCTGTACACCTTTTCTCCTACACCCATTCTCGGGTCAAGTTGAAACTTTGCACAATTATTCATTGGCATATACAAGGCATGAATCAATAAAGAAAACTGACTTATTACTCAATTAATTACTGGTAATTAATTATTTTGTTGGATACCAACAAGGGAAGTTAATTCTTCAGCTTTTTTTTTTTTTAAAGGATTTTTAAATATATATTTTTTGCTTGTTTGCAACTGCATTAGCAAACACCATTACATTTCTTTTTAGATCTTCTCTGTTAGTTACAGTTGCATTGTTTGGCTGTATTCTTAGCCCTATCACTTAACTTTCCTTTCACTGATAACATATTTTAGTTATCTCATACAGTTAATGTACATCTCTTACTGATTAGAACCCACTTTTTTTTTTTTTTTTTTGCCGATGATATAACACGCTAGTGGAAAGAAAAGAGGGAGCTGTTATATATATGGACATCTGATCAAATGTACAAGGTACCGGGTAATATGGTTCATATGACAAGACCGAAATGGTTTTTACCTGAAGAGATGGGTCAGTTGCGAACAGAGCTTGTTTCTTATCAGAGGCATCAGTTGTTAATAAGGGGATGTCACTTAATCTATTTGTAGAACTTTGTTGTGACACCGAATACAAAAATAAATAAATTATTAGATCGATATCTGTACGTGATCAATTGCATCCTAAATAAATCATAAAATAGATAGTAGCCTTGACGTATATACACTTCGGACTGTCGTCGCATGGCTCAGTTCGAACCTTGCACGCGCCATGCTTTGCCATCTTACAGGAGGCTTGGGCTTGCATGTAATCATCTTCAGTTCTGTTGGAACGTACGAAATGTTCCCAGACGAAACTGTTCAAATAGAAAGTCAAGGTGTTTAATGAATTTCTAAATGGAAGACGTTAGTCCATGGAGAGAAATATGTACACCAAAGCTCTTCAGCTTCAAGAAGTGCAGAAATCGATTTTGTTTTTAACTTGCAAATGGGGCTGAGCACTGCGAGTAGGTGGACGTTAGCTTACAAAAAAAAAAAAAAAAAGCTAGATCTGAATATTACAAAAGTTCAAAGTAGGAAGATACTTTATTCTTGTGGTGTGTGTTTAATACAAGCCAACGTCGTTTTGTCAACTCGTGGTCTCCGAAATTCAGCGCGATTTAGTTCATGTGTGTATCGATTGGTTCCTCTCATTTCTCTTCAGTATTCAACTATTTTTAAAACATTCTATTGACCTCTTCGTATTGAGGGGAAATAATACCTTCACTTACATTTACCCAACGCTAGAGTTGTGCTTCTTTTTTTTTAAAGACGCGAGAACTGAATCCAGTGTGTGACCTTCGTTTCATAATGTCCTTATGTCAAAGACATAAAGCTCAAGTCACGATATGATTTTTTTCCCCACGGCATTATCTATTAAATCTATATTAAGTTTCAGGTACCCGTACTAGATCTAGAACAAGGGCGGATTTAGAGCTTTAAAACGGTGACAGGTCTAACGTAGACAGACAAGTATTTAGGTCAGTGAGAAACAATGTGGAGTAACTAATAGAGTGGAAATCTAAATTGTTTGGGGTGATTAAGATTTGTATCAAGTTTCTTAGACTTCAAGTCATTTCACTTCAACACATGAGTATTATTATTATTATTAGAAACTTTTTTTATTTTGATGAAGCGACAAAAAAAAAACAGTACCTATATAGGCATATGGTACACTGGTTCTATATTTAGGATAGCTGGTGAAAAGATTTGTTTTTGAAATTATGGCATTCAATAATGATAACCAAGGCCTACTAAGTAACATAAGAATAGAATATCTTCAAAAGTGCACCGAAATTGTGATTTTTAGAATAGAATCTGAAAATAAACAAATAGTCTATAATATGTTATGAAAAAGAAATGGCAGTTAAAAGAAATATATTTTTCAGTTCGCACGTTCAAAAATAGGTCATAACCTTTGTGGCAAAACATTGACAAAATATAAACCCATAATTTAAAAAAAAAAAAATGAAAGAAGAGATGACGTTATTGTCAGTCGTTTAAAAACTTCAAAAGGGGGGGGGGGGTATTTGCCAATCTCACAGGCCCTTCTGCGAGACAACTATAAATCTTAAGCCTGGTTTAATAATTTTGATACGTCAGAGAAGGGTCGAGTGGAAGCGCACATAAAATCCTTATTTAATATCTAAAATCGATTTCTAATATTTTTGGTCATGCAATAATTAAGGGACAGTTATGTTGTTGTTTTTTAATTACAAGTTTTTGAAATGAAAGGATCGGGCGCACGTGTGTGTGTGTAAAGGCCTTATGTTGAGGAAATCATCTTTTTTTTTTTTTTTTTGAAGTAACGTCTGTAGTATATAAGACAAGAAGTGATACTATTTGTGTAAAGCACGTGTGTGTGTGTAAAGGCCTTATGTTGAGGAAATCATCTTTTTTTTTGAAGTAACGTCTGTAGTATATAAGACAAGAAGTGATACTATTTGTGTAAAGCACGTGTGTGTGTGTAAAGGCCTTATGTTGAGGAAATCATCTTTTTTTTTGAAGTAACGTCTGTACTATAGAAGATAAGAAATGATACTATTTGTGTAAAGCTTATAGTCAGGCCTAGGCCTACTAATGTAAAATACTTTTGCTGCCATTAAACACTCTTAAGATTTGTCAATGTGTGTGTGTTGGGGGTGGGGGGTAAAGAATAGATTTAATTATCAATAAGTAACAATCTAATTTGAATTATCAGGCCTAATTAATAGGCTATTTGCGCAAATTGTACTACTACCACACACACAACGCCCTCTGCCCTATTTTAGATCCGCCCGCGTTATAGATAGTGCTACAATACAGGTCAAAGCTTTTAATGTCAAAAGACACCGTGATGTACAGATCTTAAAATACATGTATTAGGGCTTTAGTTAGCCTATAAGACCTAGCTATAAAAGCCTATATATACATATATCACTTGTCAGGTCGCTTAAAAATTATACTAAAAAAGAAACGAAATGCTTATTTTAGGCCCATATTATCTTTGGGACCTTTATCATCTATTAGATGTATTTATTTTTAATTTATCATAAAAAATGATCTAATAAAGTGAAAGATAGATTGAATAAGGTTTTCATCACAAACATTGTTTGTAAAATGCTTTACATGTTTGTGATGTTCCTTCAGAGTTGAAGATAATTTAAGCCTACTTCCAAGTCCATACCTACTGCAGGACGACGGTGGATGGGAGCGGGCAGGGTTTGAACCCAGGACCATCAATAAGTCCGAACGACCAGGCAGCCATATACATACATATAGTATTATGTACTATTATCATAGTGCTAAAATAAATAGTAACAAATCTTGATGTTCTAAATATAGACTAAGTTGAGGCTTAAGCGCCTATAAAGATCTTTTCAATTTTGTATCAGCAAAAATGTTCTTTTATGTATTATGCAGACGTAGATCTAGCAATCTAGGTCAGTTCGATAAGACTCATACATTTATGATAACTCCGCCACCCAACTGGCCTATCCACTCGTGTTATCATGTTATAGTTTCTTAAATTTTCACACTTCTACCTCTATCTCGTTCTCTCTCTCTCAATCAGTCAATCATTTTATTTGATAAGTCTAATACTATTATATTAAGCCACAAATGTGGTCATGTCACATGCATGTAGGCTATGTAGGCCTATCGACCAGAAAGGAACCTTCAGGCATAAGCCGGGATAAAGAATCAGTACTACTTTACTCCTGCCATTGGGAGAAATCAGTCTCACTGGACATTTCATCGGGCTCTGCATTAGCGCCAACCACTGGCTCTAGTATGTTGGCCGATTTGTTTTGGTGGGGAGGGGACGATGGCATCAATCCCGCCCCCCCCCCCAAAACTTTCGAGGGGGGGGGGGCGGTCCAATTTATTTGTAGAAATCCCAGCTTGTTAACAGAATGAATTAAATATCTTACGATTGAAACATATACTTATAAATTATATCTAGACTGGAAACAGGAAATAAATTCTTATCCGCGATTGATCGATTCACAGACCTATACATATATAGATTTTTATGTACGTAAACTCTTTTTTTTTTTTTCAGGCTCTACGGGAGTCGCCCCAATCAATCGTTTGTCTTAGAAAAGTAATGATCTTTAGTTTTCAAAGTTTAGAAATATGCAAGACAATTTCTCGGATATTCACGCAAATATATGAAACAGCCATTTCCCGTTTGTTTCCACTGAGATAATGTTTCAAAAATCCTAGATGGAAATAATTCATGTTGATTTAAATCCTCTTATGTACATTTAAATAGATTGATTACCTAGATCTTTCTAGATTATGTATCTAAAAATTGCAAAATAATTTTGAGACGAGAGTAGGCTACTCTTATTTTTTTTATGTTCAATTACTAGATATAGATCTAAAAATTACATTTTTTGTTACATAGGTTGGGGTTGGAAAAAAAAATCAACTTTACTTCTTTTAACTACTTGACAAAACAACGCTTTGATCCAACTTTCTAAAAAAATCTCACATTTTTTGTAGTGTTAAAAAATCTCCATGTCCAGTCTAGATATACATAGTATATATAATTCTATGGATTGAAACGTGTTATTAATATTTTAATCGACGCTTATATTATGTCACTCCCCTGTTGGCCAATTGGGTATGCGGGGGGGGGGGTGAATACATCTAATAATCTTCCCACCTAAACCGTTTGGATTGGGAGGGGGGCGATCCTATTTTTGTGGAGAAATCATAGTTTGTGAACAAAATTAGTTGAATTGCTATACAATTTTTATATTATTTCGCTTTCCTCGGGTACCCGTAATTTAGCCGATTCGGTGGGATGGAGGGGGGAGGCAATTGCATTTACAGCCCTTCCCACTCTAGCCCGTTGA